CACCCACTGCGTCCATGAAAAAGGACTTTTTTCATACTCTTTGGAATTATTAGTAGATATATTTTCTAATTTTTGAGAGTCCATTATTATAGATGCACAAAAAAGCCCAAGTCAAAAAGAACAACAACAACAGAAGTGGAGAATAAAGGATTTGGACACTTTCTCTCTTTTTTAAAAATGTTTTTTCTTGTTTGTGATTTAGAAAGGGCTGTGTTAAAAAGTATTTTTACATTTACAATAAGATTACATTATAACAGTAAGAGAGTATTTTTGCTCTGAAGACTTAAAGAACTTGAGGTAGAATATTAATTCAGCTGCTGGTTGTGATTGGAAATTAACATATAACTCTTCTTCTGATGATTTGTCAGATATATTTTAGTCAAACTTGTACTGAAAACATAAAGCAACCACCATCTGAAAACAATTTAGTTATATATTTCAGTTTCTTTAGTCTTATTTCTTTTTGTAGTTAAATTCCCACTTCATTTTCAGTTATCCACCGAGTCTTCCAGAGGTGAAATTCCAGATGGAATTTCTGATATTAAAAAATAGTAATAAAATTTTAAAAATCAATCTTCTCTAAGTGCAGAGAAATACAAAGTGCTTTACATCATTTCTATACATGCCATGCAGAAACAATGGGAAGAAAATCAGAAACTCAGTTTTCCTTTACTTAGCTTGTTTCAGAACATTTCAGTAATAAATTGATTCAGTAATTTATTTGCAAAAATCCCACTTTAGAATTATTTTATGACCCACTCATGCTTTAGAGTGCTCTATATGCAAATCCTGTTCTGTAAGAGGTGGCTGGTGATAGAATTGCAAGTGGCATAGACATAATGGTTAACAGAAACTGGGATGGAAGATGTGTAGGAGAAAGAAAAATACATTGGAGAAGAAAGGTGATGGCAAAAAGGCAAAATATATACTGATGGAAGGGGAATGAGATGAATATAGCTCAAATGCTAAGACGACAGAATGGAGAATGAGGAGATCGAACAGAGGTAATGAAAGAGAAATACCAGTTGAATTTTTGACAAGACGGTGGATAAATACAATACTAAAATATAGTGTACTTCTTTCAGTTCATTTTCCCCACCTTACTGTCCATGTTTCTTTCTGAATTTTCCTTCCATCTGTCAGTGCTGAACTGGTTTGATATTGCTCTGGCAATTCCTAGCAGATTAGAAAAAAATCCCAACCTGTTTCCAACTTTCAATAAGAGGAAGTAATATTGCCCCAAGACCAATGCCAATTAGAACGCAGAGATTTCTTTATCAACCACAGTGTATCATGCTGTAACTGTTCAGCATGTATTTTGCATTTAAATAATTTAAATAAGAGCTAATAAACATGTATTTTCTCACAATATATTTTTTATTCCTCAGTACCTGTGAAACTGTATGCAAGATCATAAATTACTGGTTCTCTTCCCTTGTGTAGTAGATGTAATACTTAAGCTGGAGAAAAAGAGTAAGAAATGCATTTGATAGGTCCTTAGTTCTGTTGTGATGGAACTGTGTATGGACTTTGAGACAGATGAGAGTTTGATGTTAATGTTTGATTCAGCTATTTGATGCTACCATATACCAGAATAATACTTGTTTTTTGCACCATCTCAGACTTCTTGGAAATTGTCACTGCACTAACAGTATTAATAGCAAAAACTAAGCATTATTTGGGGCTATCAAGTACACTGAGCACCAAATTTCCTAAAGATCACTCTTACTCCCTAGGTCTTTGCAGTTTACAGAGCAGTGCTGCAGTCAGTTTTGTACTGCAAGCCAAACAACGTGCCTGGGTGTCTAGATGTCTACCTGTATGCCTAGAAAGGACCACAGCACTGCACTTGGGAACAACTGAATGTAAGAGACCTAGGATAAATGGAGGTAAAATGGCCATGGCACTGCTGCCTATACTGAAAGCATCCATGTCTACCATTTCCCTCTCCGGCATCACAGTCTAGATTAGCTCTTCATCAGAAAGGCTCCAGCCCTCCCCTTCTAGTGTCACTGAAAGATTGCACTGAGAGATTGCAGCAAAAGATTGGGGACTGCCTATGCAGGAAGATGGCAATGGGATCCCAGCAAACATAGACAAGGGGAATGGGAGGAGACAGACCTACTCAACCAAAAGTTTTTGTAATTCCTCAGTGCTTCCCAGCAACCCATACCCACTCAGATCTCCCAAGCTGCCACCCCTACTCCTAACTCCACTTTGAGGCCCCAACTGATTTCTTCTCACCACTCTGACTCTTCATCTCACCACAGCTGCATTCAGTCCTTCTACCCATTCCTGTATCCAGCCTCTCTAGATCTGCACCTCCTTACAAGTGTCTGTTACCTGGCCTTCCATCACTTCTCCCTTCTACATCTTCCTGATCAAGTGAGAGCAAGCACATTTACTTTAAGCCATCACTGGATCTTATAGTAGATGTTCCTCGGACTGTGACCATAAGGCTCTATCAGGTACTTTCCTTTCTAGAGATATTCCTAGCCCTAGAAGATGGATAGCTTTGATTTTAAACACTCTGGTCCAAGAAGTTTCCTGCAGCTCTGGAAACAGGCCCGTGGGTGCCCCAGTAAGACTCTGCCTCTCTCACTTAGATCCAAGCACATCCCAAACCTCCCTCTCTCTTTTTGCTGGTTTCAGGTGGTCATAATCTTCCACAGCTTTACAAAACAAAACCAAAACAAAAATTGCTGCCAACTGGGGATGCCAAAATATAACCTAAGGCTGGGTAGAAGATATTGATGAAGTTGCATGGCAATATCAAATAGTAAAATAAGTTTTTGCTTAAGGTGGACTAGTTGCAGCTGTACTCACCAGCCAGTGGAAATGAGGGAATGGTCTCATCCATGCCTATAAATTCTGTTCCAGGATTTAGAGAAACTTTGATGATTTTCTCCCATCCTTGGAAACTTGCTGGCATGGTCTTAAGAGTGGAGATGTCTCCAGACTTCTTGGGATGGCCCTGTGCACAGCTTTAAACACCCCTAAGCCTAGCAAAGACAGTTGCCTGTAAATGGGAGCCAAACGACCTGATTGGAGTTTAAAGCAAATTCAGCTTTATGTCTGGAGTTCATTATTTGATCACAGTTACCAATAACAATTGAACTCAAAGCAAACTGGGAGAATCAGAAACTTGTGAGGTGGTCTTTATCATGCTGGCTTGACCTAGTCCTGGTATCCTCCCGTAGTTTGACTTCTAATGTCTGATTTCCTGTGTCTGATTTCTAATGGGCATCTTAATAGTGTCATACAATACAGGAATTTCCTTTTTCTTTTAGAGATCCCTGAATTGCTTCTGCTTTACTCTGCTTAGTCAGAGGCATATGAGGGGTGCTATTAAAATATACAGTTTCAGTTACCCTGATGAACAGAAAATGTAATTTAAGTGAGAAATGGAAAATATAACCCGATTTTTCTTTCCAGAAATAAGATCTTTTTGCATAGCTGAGAATGAGGAGAATGGGCGGTGTGATCAAATCAGATAGTACTTGCTTTCTATCTTTCAGCTCACCATGTTTAGCCTTTTTAACACCAAATTGGTTTTCTGCTTTCTGCATTCCAGCTGATGAGTGTCTCAGAATTGCCACCCCTATATATCTCTTGAAGGCCTCTGTAGGGCTGAGTGTGTGCAGCATCTTTTGCCTGTCAGAAGTTCTCCACTCAAAGTATAGCAATGAGCAGATATAAGTGTGCCAGAATTGCTAGAACGAGTAGGAGGATTTCCAAATTTGGGGGGAGATGAAAATCCTATAAAGAACAAATAAAAAAGCTAAAAACTGATGAGAATAGCCCCATGCACATTCAATAACCTGTATGTCAAATGGACTAGAGATTACTCATTTGATCCTTGGAATTACTTATTAATAGGTGATCTTTACTGGTACTGAAATTCTTGCCAAGTTCGAAAGACTCTGTTTTAAATACAATACAAGCTTTTCCTCCATGACATGGAAATAGGAATAAAATCACTTTTAACAGAGTCTGAGGATGACACAAGGGCTAAAGGCATAGTAAATATTTATCTGGTCAGAGCAGTGGTACATGGGAATCCATGTTCCTTCTCTAACTTTCTCTAAGGACTGTTGCTTTGCATTAAGTTCTATTTGTTTTAAAATTTCTTATGTATTTTTTTTGAATTTTTATTAATTCATTTTTATCACTTCTATTTTATATTACTATTTACCATTTAATTTAATAAATAATATATAATTTTAATATTAATGTTATGCTTGTGCAAAGTGCTTAGGAAATCAAGTGAACGAACAGCTAAATGTGAGTGTATACTGCAAGGTTATACCAGAATGGATTGATGTGATCAGAAGCAGTAAGTGCTTTTTAACTTTTTGACAGAATGGTGAGATCAGTCCTGCAGTAACATGTACTTTCTTATGTCTGCATTTTATAGAACTGATAAATTTGAGATGCTTTTTAGAAAGAGATTTATTGAGGGAGGTAGAAAAATGCTCAACAGTGAGAACCCCCAAAGTTCTCAATCTGTTTAGTTTGTCCAGAAGAAAAGCAAGTGTATGAAAAAGTTTCCTGGAATGTAATGACAAGTATTAAAAAGTGATTTCATCTTGCTTGGAAAGGCAAAGCAAGGACCAGCAACTGTAAGATGATACCAAAGCAGTTTGAAGTAGAAAAGAGAAATGCCTTTTTAAGTGATGATGATTTAATATTGGAACACCATATCAAAAGAAGTGATTATTTCTCAATCACACTTCATGACTAAATGTTTTTCTTCTTGGAGTTACGTTTTACCTAGGCATACATTATGCTTGCGAAGATCACAGGTGACTGATCTTGACATGAAGATAATAGGATGAAATGTAGTAACTGATGATACACAGAAGGTGTGATTAAGTGCTCCAGCTGGGCATTGTGGCCTTAAACTCAGTGATTCTCCAATATGCTGAGCTGATCTGGCTTAAGACTGGTAAAACACGTTGTAGTTGCATCAAGAAAAGTGACTAGATATATTTCTGTAGGAAACGAGGTCATTGCAGTAGACTGGAAAGGACTGAAAGATGTGGACCAAATCAATATGGACAGCACCAGTTCTCTGCATGGCAGCAGCTTCCATCGACCTTCCACTGAGGTGAGTTCCTGTACTGCAGGCACTTACACAGGGAAACTGGAAAGTTTTGATTCTTTATGATTTCAGAAATTAGAAAGGATCAGAAAGTCAGTGTTGACTTGTGTTGGATGGAGTGGAGTCATTCACTTTGAACTACTGAAACTGAGTAAATGTTTGAAAGAAAAACTCTTACAATCTCTCACAAGTGGGGTAGAACAGAACATGGAAAAAATTCTCACATTTCTGACAATCCTTTAGGTCTGCACTGGATTCATTAAAATGTCCAGCACTATGGCTCTCCCAACTTCTGCAGCACATTCTTATAATCTTCTGAAGAAACACATTTGTCTCCATTTTGTTTTTTAGGAATCCATTCACTATTAACTCAATGCCAATTGATTTACTATGCAGTATCTCAAAGGCTGATTCATTTCCTGTTTTGAATTATTGCCATTTCTGTAGTCTTAGATACCTGAATTTTCATGTCTGCAAGTCTGAGGATATGCAGTCATAATTAGGAAAAAGATCAAAGCTATTTTAAACCAATAACTTATTGAAAAATGAAGTTCACAAACAACTCAAAAAGCATTTGTATTTCCTCCTAACATTTTTCTGAATTGTAATGCTTGGAGTTTCACAGTACTCTCATGGAAATGGTGGGGCACAGCCTTTCATGGAATCAAATCAAATACACATCTAAAAGTCAAAACATAAAGTATACCTCACTAACCTGTACAGGTGCTATCAGAGGATTAAGGTACAATAATCTAAGGCCTGGATGAGAGCACTAATATTGGAGCTTAATATCCCTTTGATTTATGTGAATGTAGTTTGATTTAGGTAATTGAGCAATCTTAATTTTCTTGAATGTCCACATCCCAAAACCAAGGAGTTGACAGGTAAGTCCTCCTAGCTGAAGGAGATGAATGCTTAATGTAATGGTTGTTATGGAAATTGGATCTGGTTTGCAAAGGGAACTTGAGTCAGAGTTGACACAACTGAAACACTGCAGAAAAAAATTACACCAGGAGAAAATTATTCCACAACTTTTTACTGAACCCTTTATGTTCAAAACACACAAGTGGTCTATCTCCTCCTTGTGTTAACCCCAGGAGATGCACCTCCCACAGAAGCATGCCAATGTGGCAGTATTTAACGAAGAACTGTTAGTAAGTGAAGAGAATTCCTACCTAAAGGTGTTTTTGTTTGCCCCTCACTCTTGGTCTCTGTAAAATCCTATTCCCATGCATACCTACAAATGCCATGATACTTACAGACCGCACAGTGAACAGCAGGGGAGAAAGACAGACTTCTCATCTTGACGGACAAAAGCTTTTAATTTATCAGCTAAATAAATGACTGATGATTATAATCAACCGATGGAGACATACATGACAATATGCAGCTTGTTACTCTAACATGATGTTGTTCTTTCCTTTCTTTAGCAAACACGGACAGATTTTTCTTGGGATGGTATTAATGTGAGTATACACTGCACTACTATTCAATTTCTAGTTATAGAAAGTCCAGGATTTTTCTGCCATTGGATGTAATGGAGACCAGGATGGAAATCTGACTGAAAGCTTTCAGTGCCACTGAACTTTTCTTCATTGCCTAGGGTTCAGGAGATGCTGATGAATTTTTGTTTGCCTCTGTGTCTGGCTGTTTTGTAGTGATTTAAATCCATAGGTGGTTATTAAGTTGGGGCTATTAAGTGCTATTAAGTGTGTCATTTATGGTGCTCTCTTTTTGAAATTTCTGAACACTGCTAAATAAAAAAAGTGTCTCTCCATCATCCTTAAACAAAAAGTAGTTTTTGACCAACGCATATTTTGATCTTTCTTAGGAGTTGGGAAGAGATATATCTCTCATATTCAGTTGCATAGAGAAGTAAAGGAGTTTTGAAGTCTCTTGGAGAGTGTTCAGTGCCAGTTAACTTTAGTTAATAAGTAGAGAAAGCTAAAGTTTCAATAAAATGTGTTCCTAGTTGCTCTTAATACTTATGCCATGGAAAAATCATTTTTTGTTTAATAATGAAAAAAGCATCCTGAAAAAGAACATCACATATCAGTACTGCCAAAATATTTTTTTTCTCTGGAAACTTAAAACGTGCGTTCACTTAAATTCATACGATGCTAATTATCATCTTGCCTTTTTCTTTAGCAATGTTCAGTTCATACAAATAACCAGAGATAGTTTTGTCTGCTTTGAAAGTAGCTGCACTTTTCACTTTCTGCTATATTTTCCCTGCTTTCTAGTTGCTTCAGCTCACTTTTACACAGACATTTCTGGCTCCAAAGTAATACAATGTCTAGGGTACTGTATTTACGCTCAGTTTTCAGAGAAACACTCCTCTCATAGTGCGACAACTGACTGGGGTGATTTGTTATTCAATTTCTTTGTAATAGCTTCCTGTACCTCCAGTTGTTTGACTGCCTAATTACTGCTCCTCTCAGCTTTCATGAGGTTTGGACCACTACACCAAATACTTGCTTCATGTTAAGATTTAAAATTTCCGGGGTTATGGTCACTGCTCTTGAGTATCTTTAGTTTTGATACCCAGTGTGAAATGTGGTGGATTTGTTATTCAGAGAGGCAGAAAGGAAAAGCAGAAGCAATGCTTTCTTTAATGCTAATGAAAATAAAGCCTAAAATGCAATGCCTGACATCTCTGAAAAAGTCCAAGGTATTTGTCTTAAGGAAATGTGTTTTTATGATGATATTTCTGGCTGTACCTCTCCCAATAGTTCCCTGTTGTTGTTATTCAGGGAGTTTGAATTTGAGCACAGGGAAAAGAATAAAGGGAATTCAGCAGAACTGTGGATCTTATTTCTTTTATTCATAGCTGTAGGTGTTTGAACGAAGCGGGGCTTATCCCTGATACAGTTAGTTCATTTTTATTAAGACTTTAAAAATGTGAGAGAAAATAAACACCAAAACCTAAATGTATATGTAACAAATTAATATCTGTAGTATATTGCATTTTATTTTGTCTTTTCTAGTACATTGTCAGCTTCTCATTCTAAGCTTCCTTAATGGTCTGTCAGCCATGTCTAAGAAAGAGTAGGGAACAATGCAGAAAGTTCATGGAGGGTTTGTGAGGGTCAGAGGGGCTTTTCTCGGCTGCCTCTGCCTGTCCACCTAACCGTGCCTTACTCTGTCCCACAGCTGCACAGTAGCTAGTCCCAGTTAAATTGTCTCTACTTTTTCCTTCCTGTTTTGTTCTTTTTCTTGTTGCTTGCTTCTGCTCCTCATATTCCTGCCTTCTGGATTCCTTAAACTGATGTCTTTCCCTGATATTTTTTCTCATTCTCTTCTCCTTTTTCTCTCTTTAGCTTTTAAATCCATTCCTTTCCTCTTTGATATATATTTTCTTCCTATTCTCTCTCTTTTCAGCTCTCCATGGAAGATACGACCTCTATCCTCCCCAAGCTGAAACGCAACTCCAATGCTTATGGAATTGGGGCTTTGGCAAAATCATCTTTTTCTGGTGAGGTCCTGAAAAATTGTGTTTATCCTGTGTAGTTTCACTCCACATGCCTTTGTGCCTCTCCCCATTGTTCTTCCTGTTGGTCTCCTAATTGCACCATTCTGACTTTTGCTCTGTCTAGATCATAGAGCAACCCACACCCACATGTTCTAGATGCAGATATCTGTTGCACCTTCAAAGGACAGATTTGTCTGATGCCTGTTGGCTTTTCCTGGTGCACTGCAGCCGAGATGTCTTCAACTGCTTCCTCTCAAACTGTCCTGAGATTAACCCCATTTTCTATTACGTAGTTCTTTCAATTCCAGCTTTCACTATTTATGCCCAATTTTGTTCTAAAAGCACTATAGGCAAGGAAGAAAAATAATTCTCTGGGTCTTTCATGTTTGGGTTTCTTCTGAGAGTCGATCCAAGGAAAGATGGAGAAACTCTCCTACATCGAACCCAAAGCCTGAATCCTGGCAGGAAAGGAAGGGAAAAGCCCACTTCCAAAGAGGGGTGAGCAGGGTGACAGACAATCCTGGAGCTGTGTAATAGCCCCTCCTTGTTTTCTAATGTCTGGCCCCTTAGGGATATCCCGCAGCATGAAGGACCATGTCACAAAGCCAACAGCTATGGGCCAAGGCCGTGTAGCTCACATGATTGAATGGCAAGGCTGGGGTAAAGCTAACAGCCAGCAGCAGCAGCACACGCATGAGACGGCACGCAAAGATGCTGATGCCTATTCAGACCTGAGTGACGGTGAAAAGGAGGCCCGTTTCCTTGCAGGTAGCTCTGACTTTTCTGCATGTGGATTGGGTTGGTTTGGGATGTCCTGGAGCAGAACCCTTGAGAGACCTAAGTGCTGAAAAACAACAACAACAAAAACTATAGAGAGTCTGGGGGTGGTTTAAATGGCAAAAAGAAGAGATGAGACCTTGTGGTTGGATTATGGCCGATGGCATGCAAAGCAGAGAGAGGGACAGCCAACTGTGGGTGGTGGTGTTGCTGAGGCTAGGGTAGGACAGTGTGACCAGCAAATGAGATTAAAGATGATGGCAAGAAGTGGAGACTTCCTCGTGCCCTTGCTTCCTCTCCCTTTCTCCTTTGACACAGGAGTGATGGAGCAATTTGCTATTTCTGAGGCAACTCTCATGGCCTGGTCCTCAATGGATGGTGAGGATGTGAGTGTAAATTCAAATCAGGATAATCCAGCAGGCAACTATTCTGAGAACTATCAGGAGCTAATGGAGAGCCAAGGTGAGCCTGAGCACCTTATTAATCTTGAAATGCTTCTCTCTTGTTGCCAAGTTGCTCTTCAACCTTCCACCTTTGTCTTATATTGTAGCCTTTATTTTTATGATTGGAATCTAGCAGGTGGAGCTGTTCAAGGAATCTGACCTTAACAGAGTTACTTTGTTTGCTTAGACACAAGTGAGGAGAGCCACCAGCTCTCACAGTTGGTTGTAGATATAATACCTAGGAAATAGGAAGGGGAGCTGCCTTTCTCCTTCATTCTTCTTCCCTTTACAATAAAGTGTGATACATAGACACCCGAACTATCCCTGAGGCAGAGACTAACTCTTTGTTGTTTTCCTCCTTTTTTTTTTGCAGAACACATGGCCCAGACGCAGTATGATAGCTGGCCTCATTCCTATGTCTCACAGGGCATGTATTGCTTAGGTTCATCTGACGCCTGGGAGACCAGTGATCAGTCCCTCATTGCTTCCCCAGCAACTGGCTCATACTTAGGCCAGAATTTTGATGACTCCCAGACAAACCTTCAGGAAAGCATTTTGATTCAGGGCAGCCTCATCCAGCAGCAACAGCTGCAGCAACAGCGACAACAGCAGAACTTCATCCAGAGCACAGGGCTGGTCCATGTGTGGCCCCTGCAGACTGCTCAGGGTGGGGCTGAGTCCAGCACCTATATGGAGGACCATGTTGAGGATGAAGGGAACCCACGTCTGGAGAAGGCTCCTCTCCTAAACAAGAAGCCCTCTCCAGAGGAGGATGATGCAGTGTGCCGGGACCTAGAATCGCTATCTCCTAGAGAGGAGCTGGAGCATGCTGCACTGAGCCGCAAAGTCTCAGATGTCACCTCTTCTGGGGTACAGTCCTTTGATGAGGAAGAGGGAGAATCAAACAACTGATGCTTTCTGTGAAGTTCTCATCACTGATAAACAAAGAAAGGGATGGAAAGGAATGAAATGGCAGGGATTCTTCTCTCCAGCTTCCCAGACTTCCAAGCAGACACACCTTCCATTCCTGACATATATTTTTTAAATAAGAGGAAAATTGAAAGTCATTGACAGATGAAGACCTCTTCTACCCCTTCACCATGGACACATATTTCCAAGTTTTATTGCTCTGGGCAGCACACATGAGGTGCTTGGAGAAATCTGGATTGGTAAATCATTTCTAAATCTTTTTAATACAAAGCTTTGGCTCTGAATACAAACTCTTCTGGTATTGGGGATGCGGCTAATGAGACAGGCTTGATATGGGGCGTGGCTATGTGGCTAGTATCCATCTTGAAAGAATGATGGATCATGTTACTTCATGGATGCAGTCCCTTTTGATAGAATACGTGAATGTTGACTGTTATAGACTGAAGATACGGCTTTGCAAATATAGATTGTACTAGTATAGGATCATGGTTGGTGCAGAGGATAAGGGTGTATTTAATACAGACTGTACCGAGTTGAAGGACTGGCTCTGTAACCAGATCCTCAATAGCACCTTGGTATGAAATTATAGGCTCAATGGATATGGGCTGCACTCTATGGACGCAGGCTGTGCTGCAATACACATGCTGTGGGCATGGCTGTACTGTGGAATGGAGGAATGGATGTGGATACAAATCTAACGCTGCTTTCAGATACTCATGCATACTTCTAATCCTTTGTTTATTTGTTTTTCCCTTTGACATTTCTATCTGCCCAGGAACTGGCAAGACTGGTGTGTCCTTTTGGTGTTGGGCACTGGATGCCAGGGGAAAGGACATTTTCAGCTACAGGCAGTCATAAAAAGCTAACTCTTGCAGGGGGCTCAAAACATATATTTCTTGGTGCTGTTGCTGTATCCTTCTGTCTTTTCTTTTGCCAGCACTAAGACCCAGAGAGTAGACTGCAGGTTCAGGAACAATGTGTACAGTTACAGAAACACAAATTTCTAGTTTGCCTTGGAAGTTTTTATTTATTTATTTATTTATAAGCTTTTATACTGCTGGGTAAGCGTTCTTAACAAACCAGTTAATACTGGGAAAGGCCCATGCTCTAGCCCTTGCTGATCACTAATACTGCATCTTTCCCAGGTCTCCTACTCATTCTGCAGTGCCAAATGTAAATGGAGGAAAAGGGGTGAGAGAGAAATTTTTCTGCTCTCTTTCTCTCTCTTTTTTTTAATTCTTCCTGTCTATATTTTCTTCTTTTTTTTTTTTTCTCCTTCAAGCAATTTAAGTAATCCTCCATTTCTTTTCCCCTCCCATTTCACTTTAGAAATGGAGACAGCTGGTTTCAGTTTCCCTGTTTGTACAAGTTCTTTCCCTCTTTTTTTTTTTTTTCCTTAAAAAAGCCTGTGGTTCACTGAGTAATGAAAGTCTGGCCTCCCACAGTTCCTTGCTGTGTTTCTACAGACATTCTGTTTGGAGGAAAGGGCTTTGAAAGGAAATTCAACAAACCATCTCTACTCAAGATATTTCATCAGAAAATAATTGGAGCAAAATCAAACCAACTCCCGCTCCCCCTCAAAAAAAAAAAGAAAGTATAGGGCTATGGATTTTGCTAGATGACTCAACAGAACCAGCAGAGATTACACAAGTGTTGAGTTTTAATTGAAATACCACTTGCAAGGAAGCCTCAGCAAAGCATGGTTTAGATCTGATGCCAGAGATGAGCTAGAGCAAGTTGCCTGGACATTGCCACACCATCCCAGGGGCACCTCTTTCTCTCTTACTCCAACTTATAGCTACCCTGTTCAGTTCATGATACATTTGTTTATCCTTTGCCTTCTCTTCAGGCTTGATACATTGCTCGGATAACAAGAGAGTGATACCTGCTCCTTTCTTGATTCAGGTTTAGACCTCAGCATATTTTCAGGAAGAAAATATGAGGAGACAAAAATGTGACCAAAGTAGTATCTTCAAGGCTCTCAGAGTTCAGACAGCTCCTGGCAAGTAAAGCAGATTATGTCCAGAACTATGAGAAATGTGAATGGGACTCTCAGATAGGATTTTAGCCCACTCAGTTTTCTGACACACATGCAGTCATATGAAGAGGGGACTCCTTCATGAACTCCCAAGTCTTGCCAGCCAACTCCACATCAAGCGGATCTGTCTCTCCTCTTCATTACACCTGAAAGGAAAACACCTTCGGGAGACTTAAGTAAGAATGATAATTTGGGGTAGGTAAGAGATAAAAGCTTTTGTGACCACTTTTCCCCGCTCCCCCCACCCCTGTTTCCTTGGGCTTACCTACATCTTTCTTAGGAGGTAGCTCTTCTCCTGAATGATGATCTTTTGATATCTCTTTAAAGATGTTCACACATTCAGGTGCTAACCTCCTCCAGGCAGGAGACTTTGATGATCTCCTACAGTTCTTGCAGGCACAGTGCTAGCTCAGTGTCCTGAACTCTTGGTCTAACTTGGGTCTAACTGTGGGGCAGGGCTTAGGAAATCAACTAGCTGAAGGGGAGAGTTTGGGCAGGTGTCAATGGCACCTCAGCACATAAGTAAGTGTTAACTTTTTCTTACTGTTTTTTTTTTTTTTAAAAAAAAAACTTCAGGGAAGCAAAAATTGTCTGGTATGTTCCTTTGTGGGTGAAAATTTGGGTGGCTTGTTGCTTTTTTTCTCTGAACTATTTCATCCCCATGTTCCTCTCTAGGACCATTCTGGACTAGTCACTTTCAGTGTAGGTGAAACCTCCATATCCTTTGCAAGATTGGGATGTGTGAGTCACCTTGTCCAGGGCTTCTTTGCTCCATATGAAGATTTTTGCTGAGATATATGATCAATGGATAAAAGATATATGGTTTCTCCAAGCAAAGTAGTGGCAGAGAAACATTATACTACATTAGAAGAAACCTCCCCTCACCTTATAGATAATTCTACAGCACCGAATCACAAGAAAAATCCTTTCTGTAGGGTTTTATAAGCTCTGTGGAACGGGTAGAGAATTATATCTTGCTGTGTAATTCCTGATCTCTAGACTCATCTCTTTTGTTCTCTGTGAAATCTGACTGGTTGAAAAATAATCTCTATATAAACTTTTTAATTTCAACTTTATTAAATTCTATAAGACTTCTTTTATACAAATCTTCCCTTTCTGTGAATAAAATCCCCCCCCCCTTTTTTTTTTGAAAAAGGGAAAAGCTGTTTCTCAGGACCTCTCCACCATCCAAAAGAGAAAAGTATCTGCCTCTCTAGTTGCCTCGAGCTTGACTGGCTAGAGAACCACTAGCTACTTGTGTGATCATGCTGAGTTGAACTGGGAAGGTGTTTTGAATTTCTTTGAAAATGGAAAAATGATTAGTATAACCTGGCTTTTTCTTATGTAATAGGCCTACTGGCTGTGAGTAACCAAAATAAGAGGGGGGGCCTGGAACCTGCTGTACATTTCCCAGAAAAACTTTTATTATATAGCTACACCTTTTCAAGCATATGGAAGGCACAGATGCTCTGTGAGCAAAATTTGGCCTGCAGTTCCTTTATCCTGGTGAGGATGGATGAATTGGAGAAAGTCCAGCCAAATACTCAGAGCCCAAACTGAATTTGTGAGGCTGGCAATAAGCAGGAAAGGTAAGCTGAATATACTTGATCTAGAGTTACCAAGAAAGTGAGCTCTGCTGTTCATTTATACATAAACTTTGTAGAACGCAGCTGCACCGCCTAAGAAAATGGGAAATTGCAGCAGAGGTGGAAGATTCTCTTTTTTTTTTTTTTTTCCTAAATTCTTCCCACCTTAAAGCTTTTGTCTTCAACAGGAGATATTGCTGTTATTGTGCTGAATATGAATGAATGCTTAAACATAAGTGACCCTATTGAAAAAAGGTTGCAGATTCCACTGCAAGAAAATTCTCTTGTGTTCCTTTCCAGCAGTTGCTTATATCTGATCAGTTACACTACTGCATTTAAACCTAGAAAGTGATTAGATAGAGGAATGGGAACACAAGGTTGGAAAAATCTTAGCAGGATTATTATATTAAGAATTGGAGACAGCTCTTTCAGTATATCCTAATAAAGCACAGCAAGTAACTGCCTCAGAACAACCAAAGCATAGGAGATGGGCATCTTGCATATCTAAGATATAGCCTGCACATTTCCCATATGTTGAGGACAACTAGAAAAGTTAAGGAAGTATTCAATGGTACATCGAAGATTTTATCCTAAACATCTTGATAAAAGAAGATGGCTTGGAAACTGAAGCACCCTCCTAGGTCACTGGTTTAGGCCTATACCTATGTAGCAGTAGGTACAACATTTCCTTACATGACTGTATATGTAATCTGATGAATCTGCAATTCAGTGCAATCATATGGGAAAGGAAGTCGAGTTAATGCTTTTATTCCTACAGTTGTACAACTCAGGGGGTGGATCAGATCTTACTTTCTTTATCCAAATCTAGTGGTCTTCCATATTTAGGCACCCTGCCTGTGCTTCAGTCGCATGAGGTCTACCGGCCCTGCTCCCTGCTCCCTTCAGGAGCCTGGGATTAAAATAAGGACATGAATAATCTTTGAAACTACCCAGCATTTTGCTTATTCATTCTAAAATTCAAAGTCAAGAATTGTCCTAGGGAAGCTTATATAAGCTTTTATTTATAAAAATCTGAAGCTTTCTTTACAAACCTTGTGAGTTCTCTTCAACCCCATTACTTCAGGCTCTGGTATGCAGAAGTCAATCTGCTGCTTTCAGTTTCTGTGCCTCTAAATCAGCATCTCCTTTGGGAAGCTGCTGACAAGCTGCTTGCCTTTTCCTTCACCCTTTTTTCTTTACCACACTAAGAATTTCATAGTATAGTTGCAGCAAAGAGAAGAGTTCAACTATACCTCTCAGCTGATCAGATAGCAAGCTGCTCTGAAAGAGGCAGCCTGCCCTGGCTGTGCTCGCTTCTGAGTACTTGTGCAGATGCTGATGCCCAACTGACCCCAGCAAACCAGTGCAGAAAGTCACAAAGATAGAAGTGAAACCTGCTTTGAAAGTAAAGGAACAACTCTGATGCAGAGAAAGGGAGAGAAAAAGGGAGGGAGAGAGAGCACACAATGTTTTCAGCAGCAGCTGACTTTTATATCACACTGGGTAAATTGTGAAAATGCACTTTGAAATGACTTCCTCGTGATGAGTTTAAACTATTGAAAGGGATTGTTCTTTCTCCTCCCCTCCATCACACCAGCTGGATGTTTCTGCTACCTAAGTAGCACCAGTACTAACATTCATTTATCTATCCAGAAACTGATCCCATTGAAAACTAACCCAAACCTCCACCAGAAAAGAAGTTTCAGTGGATTCACTTGGATGGACAAGCATCAATGAGAATCACATCAAAGGATACTTCTGTGGTTACTGATGCAATTTTAAATGGCCTAAGTAATCATGAAATTTCTGGCCGAGAATGATAAACTCACCTGAGCTCCCACAGAGAATGTATCCATCCCCTCGCAAAGCTTTTCCCATGTTTTTTGTTTGTTTGGTTGTTATTTATTTATTTATTTATTTATGGTATTCCTTTATTTGAATTGCTCTTTGCTCTTATTAAACACCCGGTAATTTCTCTCATTGTTCCCTCCCCTTCCACAGGCTCCTCTGAGTTAACCCTTTGAAGTCAGACAGGAAGAGATGGGTAACTTGACAGGCATCTGGAATTAATAAATTAACATGTGCCCAGTGGTTACACTCCACAGCAGATGAAGATACTGATGAGTCTTTTTCTGCAATTGCAAGATGCAGAACCATATGAAAGAGTGAGAGACCCAATGGGATTTTGGAGGTGGGCAAGTCTTGGAGGTGAGGCTTATCTGTGTCTTTAAGCCAGTTCCAAGCTAGTGTGAGATTCAGAATTGCTCTTCACACCTAGGTAGAGCTCATGTGATAAACTATGTCCAAAAGTAAAATTTAGTTGTAGGCTGACAGAAGATCAGAGAGAAGAAAACTGCTCACTTAAATTAGCGGAGGTATGGTAATGGGGTAAGACAGGGTGCATGGAGACAGGCTTGTGGACAACTACATATGCTTCATTCAATAACAAGGGAAAATGTAGCCAGAGAGGCAGACACACTGAGGGAAAAGCTTGGGGGAGCCAAGACTGGCATTAGTTGTTTGTAACCTTGAGCAATATCACATTCTTCTATTCAGTTTGCCAGAGTTCCTGCTGTCTTGCAGTCTAAAACTCTTCTCCTTAATTTCTCTCAGATTGAATTTCCCTTATTTCTTGTTTGGATGATTCAAAACAATCTGTTGTTTCTTTCAAACTAACTGCTATACAAAAAGAAAGGAAAAGAAAGAAAGAAAAAAACAGAAATCTATTCCAATACAGAGATTTTCAGCAAGTAGTGCTCATATATCTAAAAAATATATAAAGAAGCAACAGTCTGATTGAGAATGGTATCCCAATTCCTCTCTAGCAACCTGTCAGGGAAAGATTGCTATACTGCGGCTCAGAGAGAGAAGTAAGAAAATGGGGAAAATGTGAGGAAAACAGTGCCTGTTAAAATTAAACGTATGTGGAGCATAGCCTACAGTGCTTAAAGCACAGTCTAAGAAAAGAATGCAAGCTGTAAAGTCAACATCACTTGCCTCTTTTATATCACAGGCTTTTCCCAGATTAAATAGCAGTGAATCTGCATAGGATCAGAAGTAGCCAGTTTGACATCTGTGCCATATCAGTGCCTCCATCTCCAGAACATGTCAAGGAGCCTGGGCAAGACTGTTGGGGACACTGTCTTCTCAGTAGCTCAAACTGCTTTATGAGTTTACTGGATAGGATTAAAGACAAAATGGCTATTATTTTAGCAAATGGACATAGAAAAGTTGCAACTAAAATATTAGGGTCTGTTTTCCCATGCACTGACTTTTTTTTTTTTTTAATCCCAGTTTAGGAGTGACAAAGTGTAATCCTTTTCTTGAAAATCAAGAGAAGCATTGTGATCCTCAGCGTTGGTCTGCAAATGCATAGTACAGACCAAAAGAGACTATGCAATGTATTTTGCCAAAGCAGATTCACGTTATTGGAAGAGTGAACATTACAGTCAGGCCAAGACTTTCTGAGAAATGGTATTTTTACTAAAACTTGTAGAGATTTTTTTTCTTAAAATTATAAACTCCTGTTCAAGTAAGATTTTTTGGGGTTCAGTCATCAAGGGACTTGCCTGCTGACTTCTAGGAAAAGAGGGGTTGGTATGTTTTATGAAAAGAATTATTACTAAGCATCCTTCTGTCCTCTTTTGATCAGGTCCATTTTAAATGCCTCCTGCAACCCAGTTGTGTTCCTGCTTTCCCCTAAGAAAATAATTGTCCATGCTAGTCAAACAAAAACTTGTAAAAATGTTTTTCTCCATCATGAAGATGATGAGACTTGCAACAAATGTTACTTCTAGGGAGATAAAAGCATTTAGTCCAGGTTCACTTGCCTGCCGGACTAATTTTCTTTGGGCATGGAATTCCAGTCATGAATTGGAGATCAAACCTCAAAACCCCTGGACTAGCACTCTGCTGAGCTTTCATGAGGCAAGTACAGGTGGACTTCCCTTCTTTTTAAGTGCTGTTTGCATGAGCAATTTGGCAAGCCAAAAGCTCTTTTTGCAGGTACATGTTCTTGTTTGGCTTCAGTGTTTCTTCTCCAGTTTGTGGGTATTGTGCATGATTGGAGGTCTTTGAAAAACTCGATACTGTAGTGTTTGGACTCAAAAGCAATTTTACAGGGAACAGGATTTCTCTTGTTTTGTCTCTTTCCATGAATGAGAGGGTACAAACTAAGAGCTTGGGAGGTACGATGGGTGGAATAGGGGATGAATTCCTGACGCATGTTTAAAAGTAGTTTGAGTCTTCAAATGTTGCATTTTCAATGTTTGAAACTGCTTTAACATCGAAGTGTGGGACAGTGGTATTTGCTGCTGTACAATTTAAAGAGCCTCTTCCTCATTTGTTCACATTTTCTGTTGGAAGTTGTTTGGTGGTGATTATTTGCATCCTTTCAAACTAGTGTTTACAAAGCTGAATTAATGTTTGGGGGGAAAGTACTTAATGGAAGTAAAATAGAAAGAGAAAGGGGCTCAGTGTTGTAAGCTTTCATTCCTGCCTTGTCCTACATGAGCCCTTAATAACTAAAATGAGTCTGATTTGCCTTTGGTCTTCCAGCTCCAAAACATGTTTGCCTGAAAATTTTTGTTGGATATTCTTCGCATGTTTTAATAATGTGACTTATGAGATAACACTTCTACAAAGTTATATATAAATAGACACACACACACAGACATACATGTACACACACTACATATAGACTTAGGAAATTATATGACACTATACACCTCCATGCCTGTATGTGGCAGCAACTACAGTAAAGAAGGGGAGGTAGTTCAAAATAGCATGTACAGTCCTTTATGGAGTTGTTATTAAACAGAATATGGTCTTGCCATCCTGGCTGGTGGAAGTGTTTTATTTCTGTGGGACTGGATCCAGGGGAGTTGCGTCTGAGGAAAGAGGATCCTAGGAAAATGGGGGAGTCTCAATGAGGTAGGATCAAAATCTAATCAGGGACAATGAAAAGAATCTGTGTTGGTTTGGAAAAGCATCCCAGAGTAGGAAATATATGATGCAGTATTTTGTCTTGAGAAGGTAAGAACATCTCATGTTCTACTATACAAACATACCATCTTGTGAGGGACTGTGGCTATCATTTCACAAATCCCAGCCCTTTGTGACAGATTTGGTGGCAGGCAGTATCGCACTGGTGGGATTTTCCAGTTTAGGACAGAATGAGTTTTCCTGTTACACTACAGCAGCATTTAACAGATGATACTTATGAAAGTCATTCAGGTACTAGTAACATGCAGGCACCTTTGCTGGCTAACAAAAGTTTCACAACAGCAGGTTTGGACAGGACACCAAGAGGAAGCTGATGTTGTGGTGGCACAGGCGCTGGTCATAAATAACAAGACTTTGGCTTCAAATTTCATTTTAAATCAGTGATTCTCAGCCTACTGTCCTCCTAGTAGTTTGTGAAGAATCAGCTGAGCTAGAGGAAAAGGGGCACCTCTGGCACTTCCATCAGTTTTCTATCATCTTCTTGTTCTTAAAAGAACTGAGGGCATTAGGCCAGATCTATTAACAGTCTGTTTGTCATAGCTTTAGACATGAAAGATACCTATTTCCTCGTGAAGGTACTTGCTTGCAATTTTCCATGCTACTTAGTACAGGGGCTAAGCAATGTCACTTGTCTGGCTTAAGACATATTTCACGATCAGGGATATTTAGCTGGTCTGTACTTTCCATGTTCTATTGAAATTTGATCTGATTCTTCCCAGTTTATGTTCCTTTGCTATTGAATAGTTTCCCAGCCATCTCCAGTGGGTATGTCTGAGTAATTATACTCACATAATTCAGTTTTGACTTACATATTTAACTTCTTTAAGTATTTTTTTCCTCTTTCTTCAGTCACCTAATGATTTTCCTGTTTTTTATTTTCTCCAAATAACTACTAGTTTGTCACTGTTTTTCCTGAAGTGTAGTATCCTGAATTGAGTAAGTTATTCCACATATGTTTAAGACTTGGGCCTCTTGGAAAAGAATATGCCTCTGAACCCAGAAGTAATAACTCAGTACAGTAAAAACAGTCTTTTTTTTTTTCAATTTCACATTATGCTAGAAAGATGCTGTTCGGCTGCTGAGTGCTTCACCTACAGCTCTCTTTTACCTTCATAATAATCTAGATTTTTCCCTTGGTTAAGTATGTCTCCTCTGTTTTTTTTTTTTCCTACATAAACTAACTGAATAGCCTCAACATTAACCTCATTCTGTGGTGTCTTCTCCAGTCTCTGATCTGTACTGTCCTCTTGTTTTTCTGTTTAGATGGCAGCTCTACCATGTTTCTCTCATGTTGCTTTCCTATAAGCTTTCCTATGTTACTTTGTTTTTCAAGAGATTAATGATAAATAAATAAGTAATAAATAAATAGAAAGAGTTAAAGACAGTTCTTGCTGATCTTTCACAGGCTCCATACTTTGCCAGTTGCCAGAGCAACTTTTATGCAGTCCTTCAGGCAGCCTCTCTGTGACAGAGAAACTGCAAACTAAGTTTGAGCATAAGATTCTGTAACATGCTGGTCGTAATCCAACCATCTCACAAGTCCCATTTCCTTTCACAGCTCATTTTGCTTAAGTGTACTATAGAAGTTTGAGGGGAAGAAAAGCACATGATTTTTTTGGCAAGGATATTCCTCATAAACCTTCCATTACTGTCTTTTACACTAATTTCTATGGGGAGAAAGCTAAACTCTCCTAACCTGAGTTTGTATGACTTTAACTCTGAATGCCATCTTAATAGGTCTTGCTTTTTTGCCATTTGATCTTCATACTAAATAGCCATTTAGTGAATAGCCATATATCAGCAGCTTTTAGATGGTTGTTCATATAAAAACGGATAATTCTCATTTCCATTTCTCTACATTCCATTTCCTTTATAAATTTGATATTGGATTTTTTTTCATGATATTTTGTCCTGTAAATCAGATGCAATCCATCAAGTTGGCTGAATATGTTTCAATATCTGGTCTTACCACAGAGCTCAGAATATTTGTACAACCGTTGCACCAAAACTGCTGAGATGTGAGCAAATGCTCATCTGAAAACCCAGTGCTCAAATCAGTAGCAGGTTTGGCTGCATCTGGCTTCATGAGCTAATGCACTATTTCCAGGAGTGTCTACTATATTGTCTTTAGCTCTGTGTGGCTAGAACAAAATTTACTGACTCCCAGAAAGCTGAGGGAGGGGAAGATGTGGCTTAAAATACATTCAATCAGATTGCAGAACGATTGCAGACATGTGATTTAACCAAGGTCCTGAGGTGTATTTGTGTGTGTGAGTGCACTTGCCTAGGTTTGTCTACCCTGTTTGCCAAGGCACAATGAGAGCATGTGATTTATGGTCAAGATCAATTGCCTTAACAAATAAAGCCAAACAAATCCAGACAAAAATTTTTGAATTACATGAATTAAGATTAAAAAAAAATATTTTGGTCTATTTGAGAATGCTAAGGCTGAGGTCCTGATTTTACCCAGAAATATTAATTATTGGTCTCAAGGGTTGACAAAATTGTTACAAGATCTGTGCCCAGGTTTATGTGGTCATGGATGACTTAGTGCTTGTTGTGACTGTATTTTTAATAATATCTTCTTAATCATACCTTTATTAATATAGGACTAGATTGGTAAAGAGGGATCTTTAGTGTTTCAGCCATGGCTTGTACATTTTGGCCACAAAACACACAGTTCTATATAGTATTTAAATATTTGGGCCAGTGGAGGAGAGCAAAGGTATTTTTGTGAATGGCTTATTCAGTGTGTATCTCTACTTCAAATTACTCGAATTAATTGATTTAGTCCATAGGTTTAGCAATCTGCAGATTTTTAGTCTGAAAGAATTTGCCAGCCCAAAAAAGTTACTTTTTTTTTTGTGGCATTTCTTTATGGTTATTCAGCAATCTATCTCCAAGTGTTTTATCATTCCCACCAAATCATGACTAAGCTGCTGACCCATAGCACAACCTCCCAAAACTTTATCCTTAGTCTTATCAATTTCACCTCTTTCTTATTTTTTCACTTCTTTATATTTTACTAGTCTTAAAATGAGACTTCTGCATTGACAATTAAACATCATTTAAAGTAATTTATTTTTCTGATAGAGTTTTATAGATAACTGCCTGCATTGATTAATTGGATATCATTAAGCTATCAATTAGATGAGATTAAGACTAAGTTTTACTGAAGATACAAGGTAAAATACTTTATTTATTTATTTATTTATTTATTTATTTATTTGTGTATGTCATGGTGGTGGTGGTGACTTCCTCCAAATTTGTACTCTCATTGAGATTTTGAATGACCCTGTTCTTCTCAGAATATTTCCTTAAGTGCATTATTCAGCAGGTGTTCAGAGTTGAGAATCCTGGGTTAAGTGATCTCTATTCTACTATTTTGACTAGTAGCTGACGAGCCTGGTGCAACATGAATCTCTTCCCAGAATAAGTGATTTCAATCAACTCCACAGGCTGTTTAGCAGAAAAGCAAGCCTCTGGTTCAAAACATCTTCACAACTTGTTTTTCAAAGATTTGTATTTGGGCTTTTGCAGGCTGATCGGACTTTATAGAGGAATATGAACATCTTAGTGTTGATGTAAATTTCGATAAGTTTTTATGCTGTGAAAAAACATTTTTTTTTTGCCTATAGGTAGCCAAGTCTATGCTGCTTGGATAGGATGAGAAATGTACGTTTTAGAATGGCAGTCCAATGTCACCTTATTTGCAGGACAAAGGTTTTAAGTTTAAACTTTGAGGGGGCATCTTGGAGTTGTCAGACAGAGTCCAGACTTAGAGTTTTCTTGACAGAGGTTCAATGTCTTCATTACTGCAAAATTCACATCTGCTAAAGTATGCAGCATCAGCTCAATGCAGATTTTATTAATAAAAATGGAATCAGAAACACCAGCAGCCATCCCAAACCATCTTTGCTGGGTCATGCATGGGTGGCTTCCTACACACATTTATGCGTGCATGTTTTTTTTCTGAGGTAAGAAAGATTACTCTTTCTGCTCCAAAGGTGGGGGTACACATGGAAATGGTCTGGAATAACCAGTTTCCCAGTTTGCGGCTTCACCATGAAGAGCAGTCCAGTTCTTCCTGATAACTCCGAGGCAGACATGGCCACTTGTGTGTGCATGTATGTGGGCGTGCATGTATGTGCCCTTGTACCTGCAGGTGACCGACCTCATGAAATTTTCCAGTGTATCTTGCATCTTACTCTGAATTGCGTCAGCCCCTTTGTGGGCCTCATTTCACTTCCCTCAGCTCACAATCTGTCTGTCATGACTCACACACTCTGGCTTTGATTTAGACTCCATCTGCTTTTTCACCCAGTCTCATCCAGTTTTTCTGTAACACACCATAGGAGAAATACAGTACTGGAGCAGAGCACATCCCTGTATTCATGTCGGGGTGGGGGATGTATGTTGACTCCACCCTGAGAGTTTCTCCCTCTCTCATCTGTCTCATTGCAACCATTTGACTAAGCTAAAAAATGTGGTGGAATTAAGTCCATACATGCTACTAATAAGGAAGGAGCAAAGAAACTTGGAGAAAATTGGACTTCCATGAAGGAGTGTGGCCAGATCAGTGTTGCCACTGGCTGGAATACACTATACATTTATGTGTATTTAAAAAGAATGTCCTTTCTCCCCTTCTTACACAAATGCATATCACAGTAACTTGAGGAAAAAAAAAAACAACAGTGATTTTGTCTTTTCTCCACAAGCAGAGGGGAAGGTGACACAAAGGTAACAGGGAGGCTGTTCATGTCCTTCTGCCTGTCAAGCAGGAATAAAACACAGCCCTCTGGTTGCAGGAGGCACCTGGTGTGGATGAGATGCTTGCCTCCAGACTGCTACTGCCTGCTCACAAGGACAGGGTGACCCTTGGATGAATGAATATACTTCGGTAAATAGGGAAATACTTTCTCCCACTAGCTTAAACAGAGGGATCATGTCAGGGAGAATACAGAATAGGCTAGGGAAATACAGGCAACAAAAGTAAATATCACCCTCTCCAAGAAAATAGCTAGGGAGATTTCCCCCTCCATCACTTTGTCTCAGACTCCCTCCATTAATGAAAATTACCTGAGAAAATTTAATATAAAGTCAGTCCTTGGAATTAAAGCCTGGACTCAGTTTTCCTAGCAAGACCTGGTTAGAGACAACTGATGTGCTTCTAAGAGAGCTTATGGAAAATCAGCTGTTAAGATGAAACAGCCACTTTAACTCAGATGAAGCTTTACAAATATCAGGAAAGGGCATGTGGTCCACCAGCCAGGAGTATATTAAGAACATATTCTTAGTATCTAGCTTCCTTTCCTGATGCTGATAAGTGGAAACATACCCAACTAACTGTTTGGGGCTGTATCTAAACATCTATATGCACAAAAACAATGATAGAAAAAGATGCAGAATAGTGGAAAGTTGCAGAATACGCACAATTTGATTTTACCTATTTACTGACAAACCCACAAGGAGAGTGTATTAAACAAAACAGCATCTTGTCTTTGGGTAGTGAGGTTTCACATGCATGATATGAACTAATGAGAAATGCCTTTTCAAGACAGAGATCAAAATATGCTCCAGATTTAGAACTGGAATAGAGAAGTTGCAGACAAAGGTGGAAGTCTCTGCTCTTAGCCACAACTGAGACAAGCTGGCAAAAATGAGAGTTGGATTTCTCAGATCAGAGGTATGCAAAAATATGTGGAAAGTAGGAAGTATAGAATTATCAGAAAAGGCCAAAAGTTTTAGAGAGAAATCTGTTAGAAAAGTGTGGAGAATGCAGCTTTTCTGATATATTACTTGGTGATCTGTTAACAATCCCTAATTTTTTTTTTTGAGTTCTTACATTTTAAGACTTTATGTTTGTACAAATTGTGAACAGTGATTCAGAGAGACAAACACAGATACTTTAAATATAGGTCCAAACATGCAATTTTACTCCTCTCCTTCTGCCACTGAGAATCACCCTGGTTAAACTTTTCCCATGTTGTTTTAAAATGTCATAGATGATGGGAAACCAAAAAGGCTTTCCTCCCTTCCAGTGCTTTTCCTGGCTGTATACAAGACAGGGGACATGGACTAAATATTATTCCTTCTGACTGTCTTTAGGCAACAGCTCAGCTAAATGACAGAAGACAAGCTTCTAATTACCTCCCCTACTTAAGAAAATCCCAGAGTAGAAATTGAGAAAGAGGCAGAATATTCTACATGGGAATGCTTCTGGGGCTGAAAGGTAAGAGCTAGTTAAAAAGATCTTCAGTGACAAGGGTGTGATTGCAAGCAGAAGCATCAATATGTTTCCGTATGCTTCTAGGCAGAAGGTCTAGCTGTGTTTAGACCGGTATGCATAGGTCCAGAAAGTCTGAAAGGATGACACCAATGGGGAATGAAAAGAGCTGCTCTCCTACTTTCCACATGGCAGATTGGCCAAGAGCATCAGCTTGTGTCCAGTATCCATGTCTTGTTATTGTTCCTTCTGTCACATTCTGTATATAGTGGCTCACCACAAATGAAAGCAAAGGCCTTGACAATTATGAACTTGTTCTTAGCCACCATATAGTCCATATCTCACTCCTCCACATGGTTGTATAGTCCAGGCAGCCTAACAGTGTTGACACAGGAAGCAGCAGAGAGATGGCATCAATGTTATGCTCCTTCTCCCAGCTGAATCAATCCTCTATGGGATTTAAAGAGAGCACCCACGAACACCTCTTTGAAGACTGGACTTATCAAGGATGGCCCAACTGAAGAGTGCAATAGACCACTTCTCTCACACCAGCTATAAGGGAACATCCTCATCCTCATCTTCATCCTCATCCAGGTCTGTGGAGCGTAGGCTTAGATCCTTGAGAATGTCTGAGATGTTTTCAGCAACTGGCCCTGCCAATTCCATCTCTTCCAGGTCAGTATCAGTGGCAGAGGTGGAGCAGAGGCCTTCCCCGTCATCACATAAGTGTGAGGGCTGGGGGGAATGGGAATGGAGAGGCAGTGGGCTCTCTGCCCTCAAGTCTGTTGCTTGCTGTGATGCTGCCATGCAGTTGTTTTGCCGGTTCCACACTTGAGTGGCCTGGCTGACCTTCTCACTGCTGACTGAAGTTCGATTGGTATCTCGGAAGCTGGCAAGGGGTGGGCGAAGGCGAACACCAGAGCGTGTGGAGCCCTCTATGGCCTTCTGAAGCTATTGGAAGAGAAAAAGATCAGAGAAAACAAAGACAAAAACTATCAAAAAAAAACGCAAGCAGGTGAAAGGAAATCCCACCCAATCATATCCAGCAGAAGTTCAACTACTCTTCAGGGTAAAGGGCTCACATAAAGAGAATTACAGCTATACTGCCTGGGCCTGAGAAGATCATATTTACACACGTGACTTATTTCACGGTAAATGACAAATTCCATGGCACTTTCAGAGATAGTAATAGCCACTTAGTTAAAAGCCCTACTTTTATGAAAAAGACCAACCAGCTAACATCTCTGTAAACAACATCTGCTGCCTCCTATAAAATACATTCATCCAGTTCCTCTACATAGCTACCAAAGAGTTGACTCAGAATGCAAGACTAGATTGAGAAATATAGCAATCACAGCTATTTATATTCCAAGCTGGATCCCCAGCAGATGTGAATGTTTTGTGATAATCCACAGGTTGTTTGCAGCTGAGAAGGAGCAGACAGGAGGATCTTTACTTACCTCTTCCAAAGCCAACACTCCCCTCAGCTTTCCCATACTGGTTACATAGGCATGACTGAGGCCCAGTAATGAGAACAACGTATGTGTCTATGAGCAAAAATACAAAAGACTTTTTCAGGACTTTGGAGGCAATAATGTGTTACTTTGTAGTAGACTTAGGACACAGGGTTTAGAAATGGGACACGCAAAAGCATATAGCTCTGCAGTCATCACACTAAAAAAAAATCTACCTCTTTCATTCCTTTTTCATAATTAACAAATACTTGGCCTTCTGCTGTGTACCCATAGTTATGAATATGTTGTTGATACCGGAAACATTCTCAAGGTCATTCCCATCCTCCATCTGGCAAACAAGAGATTATTGTACAACTAGCTGTGCATTTGAAGACTTGGGCAAATCATATTTCATTTGGGTTCTGGAAATAAAAATATCAGGTGATAGTATATATTAATATACATATCCATTTTCTGGAGGTAGTGATCACAGAATCAGGAAAAAAAAAAGGAGGGTCTGAAAGAAACTTCTGGGAGTTCTTCTCAGTCATCCAAGGAACTTCAATCCATTTTTTCAGCCAAGGCACTATTAACCATGCCCACATCATTCTTGGCCTTTTGGGGCTAATCTGTTCTTGATGTCAGAACCTTCTTACAGCATTTATTTCAGTACTTTCCTCACCATTGGAAGACTTTTTTTTCCCCTTTTTTTCTCCTGTTCCAGAGTGTTTCCCATTAAAATTTTAGCCTGATACTCCTTATCCAGTTCAGTGGGAACACTGGAGACAGGTTATTCTCTTTCTCTTACAAAGCCTTCTTAAAAAGACAGATCGTCATACTGCTCAGCAGTCTGTGCTTCTTCAACCAAAATATACCCTATTCTTTTACTTTTTCTTCATAAATCAGGGTTTCAAAAACTTTCAGCCTTTTCAGTGCTCACATTATGGATCATTTCTAACTGATTTATCTCTTCTTTGAAGCTGATGGGCTGCCCAGAGAGGTTGTGGAGTCTCCTTCTCTGGAGATCTTCAAAACCCGCTTGGATGCAGCCCTGTGCCATGTGCTCTAGGTGACCCTGTGTGTGTAGGGGGGTTGGACTAGATGATCTTTAGAGGTCCCTTCCAACCTTAAGCATTTTATGATTCTATGATTCTATGAACAGCAGCTGGACTGTAGGCCTTACATGAAGTGATTCTTTTGCAGATGATTCTTGCCTTTTTTTTAACCTCACATGATGTGAATTGAGATTATCCTTGGTTTACACTTCAACATGACATTTAACGTCTCATGTTAAACCCCACTTGTGATCTTCGTGTATCATTTCTTATCACTCTATATTCTCAAAGATAACCGTTATCTTATTTTCAGATTATAGCCAGTCCTTTAGAAAACTCCAAACTCATTTTGCTAATTTGTTCTTTTTTTTTGCCAAGGCTTAGATGTTACTTCTTTGGTATCAGTAATTAATTAATTTCGTGGGATGCATACTGATGGAAAGAAAAAAAGCACTGTACTCTTTTACTTCAGTGGGCAGCTTTCCTTCTGTATTGAGTAAATGTTCAATCATTTCTTATTCCTGATGTGCTTAAATAATGATTGCTTTTTCACCAGGTTGTTCCCTCCTAGCTGTGCTCTGGTTCTTCCAATTTTGTCCCTACCTGCAGTGCTTGTCTTTTAACGTCATCCTGAGCTGACTCTAAAAGTTGTATGACCTGCCTTTGTCTTTGCTTATGCTTCAGATTCAGGCCAGTGTCATGAAACTTTTCTCACACACTGAAGCAGGTTACAGATTCCTGACAGAAACACTCCAAAAAATTAATGAGCACTCATTGCAGTGCTGCACACTGACAAACTAGAGTGTAAATCACAGTGTCATGCTCCAGAAGAAGGCCATATAACTCTTCTGAAACAAAAAAATGTGGTGTACAAAAGCTATCTTAATAAATGAACTCAAGCTTCTCATCAAGAAGCCTTTCATCTTCCAGGAGACTCCAGGTATGTGTGAAGGATTACCGGCACAAAATGATTTCTGTAATGGGATGTGGAAGTTGCTGATGGGAAATGTAACTGGATGTGGACAAGATGAGTCAGTGAGAGAAGAAAAGAAGAAATAAGTCATAGGCTTGACTCGCAATGATCGTCAGTGGAAAAAAAAAAAAGGACATCTGCACCCACCTTATGCAGGGAAGTTCTCTCCACCAGTTGGAAAGGGGAAGGATCTATTCGGCAGCTGTCAAAGCATACATCCTTTTCCAGTTCCTCCTGTTCCCAAGCATCTATCTGACACAGAAAGAAGATGAATCAGAGTAATCCGCAGTCTTCCTAGCTTGTGCACCTAAACCAGACCCCTAGCATTCTCTTGTTAATGCTCCTTCCCTCCTGTGTAGTTCACCTATATGCCTTGCCCATTATATCATCCCCTTCAGGGCTCTTTCCTTGCCAGATACTAAATCCTTATGATAATACAGCAATTCCAGTAACTCAGTGGAGAGAAAATCATCTGGGAAGGTAAAGCTTTGCTCCTTCCTGTTTAAAGGGAACACAGAAACTTTCTGAATACAAAATAATAGTCCCTTTATGCAAAGCATGAAGGTACAACATTGACCTATTGAAAGATCCAGGTGAGGAGTGACCTCAGGTGAGGCAGTCTCTAGCCCAATACCCTTCTCACAGCTGGCCTAACTTCAAAGCTAGATGGGTTACTCGTAGCCTTGCTCAGGCCATCCAGCAGAAAAATATCATCTCGCTTAGTGAAGCTTGCCCGCGCTTTCTAAAAAGAAAATGGTTTTGTGTGTGACAGGAAGAATTACAAATGATAGGAAATGAACAAAAGAAGGAGCTGCTTGCCCTCACTTCCTTTGTGCATTCAGTCTTACCTCTTCTGGACTCATTGTATCAGCAACTTCTGCCAGCTCCTGCAGGAGAAAACACTGTTCAGTAGAGAGACAGAGCCCACAGTTTCACATGGTTCAGAAAGGAAAGATGTGCACTCTCCAAATTTTCTGGTCCCCTTCTAGTTCTAGTGTGTTAGTGAATGATTAGATTTTTTTTCTACTTAAGCATTATAAGTGTACTTTATACTTTCTGTCCTTCCCTTGTCAAAGATGGATTATGGAACACTTTTTGAGGAATTAGGTGCCTAAACATAGGGATCTAGTCGTGCTTTAGATTCTCTTGTGGGAGACAGGATAGGTGTGATATCAACCAACCCTGTGCAGATAGCTTAGATACACAAGGGCATTTAAAATGGCACAAGGCAAAACTGTCTTTTCATTTTTATTATTTGTCAAAGGAGCAAGGACTGCACTTTTTTTCCAGGTTAACCAATATAACATTAAGATTTTTGCTGGAAAAAAAATCCTAGGCTCATTTATAATGGCAGTTTTGACACCTGAGAAAAGTTGGCTCTATTTAGGAGCGTACATATTCCATATTAATCATGCCCTTTCTCTTTGGAGAGAGTTCCCCACTGAGCTTGACAGAGTTCAGGACCATAAGCAAGTCAACCTTTTGCCCAGATGCTAAATGGCTCTGTGTAGCAGGTTCTATTTCGATTGTATCCCTTCCCTCTTCAAAGTAATGCTAGGCCTTCCCCCTAACCTGTACAGCCCTCTCCATTTCAGGTGGACGGTTGTAATAGCACAAGAGTTGCTGGATCAGTTGTCTCAAACTCCAGAAATTACCTGAAGGATGAAAACAAACATATCAATTGGAACAAGTAAGAGAAAGAAATACAGAGTCCCATATCCATCTCCTTGCCCATGACAGACTGGGAAATTATATAAAGGACATATTAGATGGTACATGACAAAGTTCAGCCAGTAAAAACATCATTTGAGTTGTGAAATGGTGGCTGGAAAATGCCAGAATATTCCCATGCACTATCTGTTCATCAAGAAGAGGAAAACATTACAAAATAGTCCTTGCAGATAGTATTCAGAGATCAGTGTTCCTGATTTAAAAACAAACAAACAAACACACCAAAAAACAGGAATGAGACTACTGGCATAGCAAAGCACTAAACACAAGGGAGAGGAATTAATATTTGAAAGAGGGTAACAAAATCAGAATAATGGATGAGAAAAAAAGATTTTGTCAAAATGCAGATTAAATGAAAGGAAAGCAGAGAGAAACTGCTGTGACAGAGGGTTCTGCAGAATGTGGTTTGGGAAATGAGGGTGGAGAGGATTAGGGAATGACTTCAAAGACTAAGCATATCAACAGCCTGAATATGAGGGGTGCAAAAGAGTACGAGTCTACAGTTTGTACCAGCAGCACAAGATGAGAATGAAAATGACTGCAGAATTATTCTTGCAGCAGTGCAGACAGGATTTAGCAAAATGGAGGAGATAGGGTTTGCTGCTGTTGTGAAGTGAAATAAGTCTGTGGAGGAAGGTGGGCCAGAAACAATCACATCTGTAAGCCAAATGAAGGCAAGTAGGGCCCTATGAAGTCCCCTCTGTTCCACCCACTCTTGTACTTCTGCATTACTCAGTGCTAGTCTCACCTTAAAGTATCTCACAATGTCCTCATTTTGATGTGATTATTTGTCAGGTTTTGTAAGGGAGGTGGATGGCTGTCCCAACATTCTACTGCTATGGCTAACATTGAGTGGGTTTTCCCATGCCATAAAGACTTAGTGAAACTTGAGTGGTGTTCAGGAACAAGACTGTGCTACGTGCTATATTACACAGTCTCTTTTATCTTTGAATGGCTAAACACACTAGCCAGAGCCCTATCTTTCATATTGACACTCAAGATTTCGCTACACCATTGTGCTCACTTCCTCTCTGCATAGTTGAAGACACATCAAGGAAAAAAGTCCTCCATGAAATGTACATGCCACAAGAATCAGAAATGAGATATGAGTACAGTCTTGAAACTAAACCTCGTATAGACTGGGGTAGCACACAGAGAACACAATACATCAGTATTTGTTCACAATATTTATGCAGCTGAATCAAAGAAGTGTCTATTCAAGGGAGGAGTTGTTCGGTATTGGAAGATGGCTGAGAACAGACTAAACCACTTTAAAAATATATTTTTGGTTAGTTGTCAGGCTACTCTTCCCAGGGGCTATCCCCCTTCATTCAGGGGATAAGGAAGGCATAGGATAGGGTGCTTCCATGTAGAATCCCTAGAACGTGTCTGAGTTATTATTGCAAAGAATGAAGTGGGGAGTACTGACGGGGGAGAGCAACTTGGATGGGCCTACTTTTGCTGTGTTGTTTAAGGGATCACTATCTGAGGACATTTCCAAATTAGTTACTCTGATATTGAGTGCATTAACAAAATGCCTTTAATACAGGAACAGCAGAGAAAGCTGACAGTGACCAATCTTTTCTTTCAGTCTCTGGGATACCAGCACCTTGCACAGGCATGTTCATACAGTAAGTGTTAAAGCTTCCACAAACTAGCTACTATGATAGGGCTGGTGCATGCCAGAGGTCACCATACCTGAGGGTTGCTCTGTCCCCAGTGGTTCTGGAACTTGTTTAAGAGGACTTGTTGGGCCATTTGGTTCTTCTGGGTGACTGGGAGTGGGACTAGGGGGCTGAGGCAACTGTCATGGAAAGGAAACAAAATAAGGTCTATCCTGAATTTCAACCTCTCTCAATATCTTACTGTTTCTTGAGCAGTCTTTTTTGTAGTCTCTCCTCACTCACCTCTGCCTTCTCATTGTCATCCTCATCCTCATCAACATAAGCAAAAGATTCATGCTTCAGCTTGGGCAGGGCTGACCATGGTCCCTTGCTGTGCCCATCATAGGGTGCCTCAGCCAGCTTCTGCTGCATCTCTCTGTGGAGATGCTGTCGCCGTTCTGGGCTCATATGTCTCTGAAGGAGAGCCTGCAGTTCAGACCGCTCTACAGATCCTAAAAGGATCATGGACTCTGCAAGGCACAGAGCAGAGAAGCCATTAAGCACGCTTTGGAACATATTATCCCTCAAGATTTTGAAAATCCCCTTCTATACTCTGCTTTTTCATCCCTTCAAGCCCTTAAAAGTATGCTGATTCATACTGTGCCAAGCTGTACAAGAGGCATTGACCAGCCTTGCTAACTACTGGTAATACACTGTGGGGCTGTGGGAAGCTAATAATTCCTGAGTTCCACCACTTCTAGAGTACCACATCAAAAGCAGACTCTTTACTTATACTCCTTGTTACCAAAATTCAGTCCAGAAACCTCTCACATATCTTTCCTACTTTCTGTATCTGCTTCACTCTCCATGTACTAGCCAACCTTTCTGACCATCTGAAACACCCTTTTGTCATACATGGCCATCAAGGAGATTTTTAGGATGATTAGTGGGTCACACTGCCTCCTTCAAATTATGAAAATTGAGAGCTAGTTTCTTTAATTCTTTAAGTCTTCAGGAATGACTATTTTTTTCACATAACTTACCTGGAGAGTCCACCAAAGGCAAAGTCTTTACAGTGGTGCTTTGAAGTAGAGTTTTCAAGTCCCGGTATTTACAGTTGGAACTAACGAATTTCACATCTTGAACCATAATATCCTCAACAAAGATATTATACTTGCTGTGAATTTACGGACAATAATGAGAAGAGTTAGTGTATTAAAAGTGTCCAATAGATAAATTCCCTAAAGAAACATACGCATTTAACATTTATTTTAAAAATATTCTCTATAGTTGGTTAATAATTTTCTGTGGGAGCATGCAAAGAAGACTGCTCAATGTGACCTACACAAAGTAACTGTATTTTCATTACAATTCTATTCCATTCCATTGACCCTCACCAAAAAAGCACACACATATATAATATATATAAATATAGATGTATGTGAATTACTGAATTTTATTTTAAGCCAACTGTCCAAATAAAATGATATTTCAACATTTTGGAGGAAAAAAAAATTCAAAAAGCAATGGAAATGAGGCATATGTTTTATTTAACTGAAGCAGTTTGATCATATTAACACAAAATCAATAAAGTTGCAGATGATTCAGACATGTCCTTTCAGCAAAAAAAAAAAAAAAAAAAATTCTCCATTTCTGTGTATGAAAACTTGTTCTACTCCACCTTTTGTTTTGTTCTCATTCTAATTCTATTCTTTTAATTTATTTTTATTCCTGGTCCCTTTTTCTCCCATGGTATCACCCTCTTCCGTTTTATTCTCTACGACTCCCCAGGTCCCACATCCCTACCTCTACCTCTGTTTGTACTGCACCTTATGTGATTCCAGCCCAGGTCTGGCAGGTAGGGCAATTTCTTCACCTGGATGATGCTGTCATAGAGGCTGGGCTGCAGACTCTGGGCCACCATGTTGGCAAGAATGACAGCCACCATCATGGGGAGGATGTGAGAGATCTGACCTGTCAGCTCAAAGCAGATTACAGCAGTGGAAACAGTGTGGCTTACTGCTCCTGTCAGAGCTGCTGCGC